CATTGTCGTACGACTGCCATGCTTTCGGGTACACAACACCATTCAGAATCTAACGGTTCACGTTCGCTTTCATCACCGCCTCATTCTTGTAAAGTGGTCCCACTTTTTTCTGGAGACGATAACCGAGCCTCCGCGGTGCTATCTATAAGTACATTGGGGGGTGCGACGCGTGTCGCGTGCGGCGCCTTTGGCTGGTTGCCAACCGGACACGATCCAGTGAGTTGCTGTGCCCCAAGCTGCTAATCAACTTCCAACGTCATATTTTAAGCAGATGTGCCTACGTTTTATGCGTGCGAGGATCCGCAAAACTCCTGATTGGCTCTCCATGCAAGGTTTTGGGCTGTTGGTGCTAGACTAGACTGTTTGCTCTGGAACATTTTGCGATTTTCTGAGCATGTCAGTCTTCTTTGGCTCCTTCAGCGCTTTGATTCGAGCCTCGTGAATCTCTCACTTTTACATACTAAAATCAAATAAACCGTTCAAAGGTAAGTATACTAGCTTACAGGGTTCATAATTACTCATAGTTTGTAAGATCAAGCATGAACGTGTACACGCATGAGTGTTTTGTACAAAATATTAAGCATTGGTATAAATATGTGTATATATGTACGACTGTGAACATTAGGTGTACGTGAGTCGTCTAGGCACTCCGATTTTGGAGTTGGAGGAACTTCGGAGCAAATGGGATTGCTCATCCACCTCGGTGTTGCTCGTTGTCCTAAGGCTTAGTCAAGCCTTGAGAAAGGAACAACGCCAGGTGTGAAATTTGGTGTGAAACGCAATATCGAAAAACCGGCGTCTACACCCGAAGACCACCGGCTCCTGACACATAGATTGACAATTATTCCGATTGAAACCGTTGAAGCCGTGATTAGGTTAGGTGCTACATATATAATGAAAAAGACTGAAAAGTATGTAATCTTAGTCCCAAATAATAGCAATTTCTTGGGATTCTCCACAAGCTACCAAGTTTGTGCACTGGAAATCCATGTAAGCCTTGAGACCAGTTGAAGCTACTGCGATGGGTGTGGGATGAAGAGATTGGACTTGGAATCTAGCAACTTCAACTTTCGGATAGCAAGAATCGCAAAGTAGGGAATCCAGCAATTCGAAGCGATCCAGTTATGTGCTCTCTGCGAGCTCATTCAATGCATTTCACACAATCAAGAGTGATGGCACGGAAACTGGAAATTGAAAAATACATGGGGAAAGTCGGTGTTGGCGAGATCACAGGGTGACAGCATAAAAGGAAACGGTGTTGAGGTCGCGGTGGAATTAAAATGTCAGATGTCGTATAACAGCGAGACGAGTGGTTGAAAAAATGGGGCATTCCAGTAATTGGTAATAGACTGCACACTTTCGACGTGAAAATGGAGTCTTCACGATACCTCAGTTCGTGACTACCACAATTACAATCGGAAGTGTTCAGGAGTGAAGACAATGAAGGATTTCGCCTCCCAGATAAGACGTCAAAACTTACAACACCACCCACACTTGTCTTCCTTGGTGAAATTGTGACCTGAATAGAGAGAAGTAGTTGCAGGAAATATTTGTCAGAAGTAATGTCATAGAGTGACATTAGGTTGCAGGAAGCTCATTTTCCAGTCCAAGGGAATAGGCGTATGAGGATGGACTTGTCGAGGAATTACGGAATTCTCTTGCAACCCTGTATTCGCGCCCCATTACGGGATACGCGCGCGACACGCGTTGAGCGACCCCTTGTCTTTATAGATGCGGCCCAACGTCGAAATTCAATCATTATACGAAGTTATCGGCCACTCCCCCGGGACAACTCGTCGCTGCCTGCGTCCACGATTCCGGTCGCCGCTTGGTTGTGACTGTCTACAATGTAAAACCCGAAAATCATTACCCAATTCCTGGCAAGATATGATAATTTGTAGGCTGACTTCCAGCCCCCCAAGAATGTCCTAGTCCTTTATTAATCAGGAAAAATAAAATACAGTGAGGAAAATCACGGAACGATAGGGATTTGTTCCTCTAGGCTGATACCCACAATACACGAAGTATTTTTTCTCACCTCATTAGTGGACGATCATACCTGGTCAGCGGGTCAAAGTGCAAAAGGTCTCAGTAGCACTGCCATCAACGTCGCGAGGTTTTATTGCAAGTTCAGATTTTCCAACATATCCTCACGCAGCATCCAGCATTCTTGCTTTCTTGTCAACCAATCAGCTTCGTGTGCCCTCTTCGTTCCAAGTAACAGCTCAATTGTCCGCCGAATCGCATCCTGGCGCCAGACCATCCAGTCGACGCTATGGAACGTTCGAAGGGACGCGCGCATTCACATTCCGTTGGTCCCGCAACGCGAAAAGTGCGCGAATTCGATGGGCGGCAAAATTCGTTTTTCAAATCGCTCATGTGAAGTGAAGGATTGCGACCCTTGTTTTCCTTCCTTTTTTCTGGTTGTAGTTATGTTGTGTTGAAGCTTAGTATTTCTTTTTTCTTTCAGTTGAAGTTCATCTTCACAAGTATGTCGTCCAGGCGAGATAACGATGATTCTATCGGACAGAATGGTGAGTCTTCTTACATTTCATTGTGATTCCGAGAAGTTACTGATATTGGCTGCACATGGTGTTGTATAGGCAATATTAGTAACTTCTCGGAATCAATGAACATCATTCTAGGAGAGCCGCAGAGTCAACGTTACGAGGAAGAGGATGTCATCGACGAGCTGTTCAACAATGAGAATGAGGACGTGGAAGATGAAGAAGGGGAAAACTTGTTTGGAGATGACATGGAAAGGTATTTCTGACAGCACCGAAAGCTATATCATTGTTGCATTCCAGCTTTCTATATGTGTACTGTTCCTCCTTTCTGTTAGTAAGCAATTCCTTCATTTTTAGGGATTATCGGGCACAACCTGAACTTGACATTTATTCCGAGTCTGGTATGGACGATGCCTCGGATATAGATGAATTATCGATAAGTGGAAGGCTAGCCGCTGAAAGAGAAATGGCACAAAGGGATCAGATCCTTGATGACGATGCGCTGTTCTACGAAGAAGGCGACGAGGAGCAGGTTTTCGCTCTTTCAAGTTTACGCTCTTGCTATGTGTTGTTCAGTTGCGGAATCCCACTGTTTAGAGAAGGCGAAGGAGACGTCGAGTCGCGGCAGAGGAAAGGACTGGAGAAGATCAGGATATGGCGGAGGAAGTTCCCATCGATATCCTGGAAAATTTGAGGGGCCGATCAACGAAAGATCACGTTTCTGATGAGGCTGTGGCGAGGGAGATAGAAAGAAGGTTGGTCACATATGTATGCGGTATTGGAACGCTGCCTGAAAACGTATAAGCATGTGTGTACTGTGTTATATGGTAATTCTTTATAGATTCAAGAACTTCCTCCGCGCATTCAAAGACCCGGTCACTCGGAAAGCTAAGTACTTGAAGGTGCGTAACAGATTTTTGCCTTCTTGGTGCTTGTTTCAAGACAGTCATTGCGAGTTGTTACTCTTATAGGCTATGAGTCAAATGGCCTCCGAGAATAAGGAGTCATTGGAAGTCGATTTTCGTGATCTAGCAGATGACAGTGGAGAACCTAACATTTGCTATTTCTTACCGGAAGCTCCAGTTCAGGTGAGTGCAATATGAGAAGGTTACGTGACTGCATAATGCTCCGCCTTTTTCTCTAGCCACGAAAGGTACGATAGAGTTGGCTGTAGGACAGTTTCGGATGACTCAGCGTTTCGATATGGTGAATGCGTAAAATCCGTCTATCCGGGGGGGGGATAAGCCGCTTGGTGTGGTGCAGAAGCTTGAAAGGTGAGGTCGTAGTCGCGAGATTATGCAAGCGAGAAAGCGCTGACCAGGGCAAGGACCGACTTCAGGTGCTTAGAACAAAATGATGGTTTTTTGTCAAACGTTCCACTTCGACGTTGTTTAGTTTCCTCTTCCCAGAAGACTTTGCTTTCGACCCTCCCGACTCAGTCGTTCACTGTGTTTTATACATAAATCACAGCAGTTGGGAGGGAACATCGCTTGACGACCGATAAGGCCTCACCATGTATGTACTGGTGAAGTCAGAAACGTCGCCGACAGTCAGCCATTGAATACTTGAGCTCCACATTATTGGCGTTTTTAATGAGTTTGTTACTAGTTATTCCTTTAGGTATTGAGGATTCTAGACAAAGCTGCGACGGATGTTGTTCTAACAATATATCCTTACTATGGACGCGTATGTTCGGAAATAAAGGTTTGTATGGTAAACTTCCTTAGTTGGATTTTCTAATTTGGTGGCGTTCAAGTTTTATGGAGTTGTTGCAGGTTCGTATATCTAATTTGCCAGTTGAAGAGGACATTCGCATGCTTACTCGTCAAATCCACGCTTAAGATGTTTATTAAGACAAGTGGTGTGGTGACAGTCGCCACAGGTAATAATGTGATTACAAATACTTGCTGAATGATTACATATTACAAATCTTTCCTCGTCAGGGATCATGCCACAGTTGTCCGTCGTCAAATATGATTGCGTTGCGTGCGGATACATCCTCGGTCCTTTTATACAACGGGAAGATGAGGAGGTGAAGCCAACGATCTGCCCATCATGTCAAGGAAGAGGACCCTTCGAACTTAATGTTGAAAACGTGAGTCATCGCTCTTAGTTCCATTTCGTTCTATGGACTGATACTTGAAGGCTCACTTCCCTGTTGTTTTCGAATGCGGCATTTTCAACACCGTCTACCACAACTCCAACGCATCACGATACAGGAATCCCCCAATAAGGTTGCAGCTGGTCGTCTGCCTCGTTCAAAAGATTGCATACTGCTTGGTGATCTTTGTGATTCTTGCAAGCCTGGTGATGAAATTGTAAGTCCTTTAGTTTCTGTGTTAAGCTCGATTGTGGCTAATACTTTTTTCAACAGGAAGTGACCGGAGTTTATTCATTCAATACAATTTTGATGGTGCCTTAAATTACAAGCAAGG